TTACACCTGAGATGTCAAAAGGAGCCAGAGAAGCTTCCAGGAACATTCCCACAGCTATAGTGCAGTCCAGCGATTTGGGCTTTTCAAGTTAGAGATAAAGCACACCAAAAAGTGGGGGTGGGGGAGTGGGAAACAAGATTTGGGAGGGAACCAAACTGAAAACCAGGAGTGTAGATAGGCTCAAATACAGCCTCCATTAGAATCAGCAAAGGGAAACGCCTCAAGGCAAATGCTTCAGTATAGCAACCCCACCTCCCTCCTCAGAGTACAAGGAGGCAATTTTTGTTCAGCCAGGTTTTTTTTGTTTTGTTTCTTTTCAGTCACGTCTGACTCTTCATGACCCCATTTGGCATTCTCTTGGCAAAGACACTGCAGTGATGTGCCACTTCCTTCTTCAGCTTATTTTACAGATGAGAAAACAGGATGAAGTGACTTACCAGTGTCACACACCTAAGTGTCTGAGGTTGGATTTAAACTCCAAGCCTAGTACTCTATTCACTTCACCACCTAGCTGCCCCAAAAAGGCAATTAAGTTTTATCACACATCCATTAAAGATCTCAAGCAGGATTGGCTTAAAGGATATGGGAGATGAAATAAATTCCCCCCAAGGCCAATCCTGTTTGAGAACATTAACAAATGTTTGATATAACTATATCTAAAAAACTAGAAAAACACATATGTATATATTTAAGAACAAAAATGCAACAAAATAACAAAGATAAAGTGAAGGAGAAATGAGAGAATACTTTGTGGGCATCATAAATAGTGTTGTATCCTAATCTAGGAAAGGTTTGCAGCAAGAAGAAAAAAAAGAGCTGGGAAATTTAAACCACTGAAAATTGTATAAAGGTATTTTTAGGAATTATGTATGCATAAAGACTGAGACTGGACTAATTCTATCAATCAATCAATCAATCAATCAATCAACAAACACTTATAAAGTACTTACTTTATGCCAGGCTGGGTGACAAAGCAGACAGAGTGATGGCTTGGGGTCAGAAAGACTCAAAGACTTCAAATAGAGCCTCAGATATTTACTAGTTGTGTGAGCCTGGGTATGTCACTGAATCCTATTTGCCTCATATATAAAATGAGCTTGACAAGGAAATGGCACACCACTCCAGTGTCTTTACCAAGAAAACCTCAAATGGGGTCACAAAGAGTCAGACACAACTGAACAACAACGAAAATAAGCTATGTGTGTTAGGCTATTCAAGTACAAAGAATAGAAAGCTTACTCTCATGAATTTATATTCTAATGGAGACAACAAATAGATACAAAACATATGCAAAGTAAATACATGAAAATGTATAAAAATGGTAAAATACAAGGTAGATTGATCAGAAAAGGCTTCAAGCAGAGGATGGTGGCAGAGTTACATCTTAAAAGAGAGGGATTCCATGAATGTGGAGGTAAGGAGGGAGTACATTCCAGGCCTAGGAACACCAATCACAAAGGAAAACTGAGATGGGAAGTGTAACAACGCTGTGAGAAAAGAAGGTCTGTGTGGCTGGATCACAGAATGCAGGAAGGAGAATAATATCCAAAAAACCTCAGAAAGAGAGATTTGAGCCAAGTTGTGTAGGGCTTCAAAAACTAAGTAACAGGGAGTCACCAAAGTTGGTTGAGTAGGAGTCACATGGTCAAATCTCCACTTTAAACAAAATTGCTTTGGAGCACTGTGTAGAATGGACTGGAGTATGGAAAGACTTAAGACATTTAGGAAACTATGACAATAATCTAGGTAGGCTAGGAGTGAATTAGGGCTTGAACTAAGGTGGTAGCCCTGTGAGTTGAAAGAAAGAAATAGAATGAGAAAGACATTGTAAAGTCAGAAATCGCAAGATTTGGCAAATGACTGGAGGAAATGATAGGATTCCAGTACGATGCTGAGATTACAAATCTGAAACACTGAAAGGAGAGTGACTTCAATAGAAACAGAAGTTTGAAACAGATAAGTTTTTAGGGGGAAAGAGAATGAGTTCAGTTTTGGACATGCTGAATTTAAGATGTCTCTAGAAAAGGTTTAAAATGTCTAACAGGAACTGATGATGCAAAACTCAAAAATGAGGTGATAATTTATTTCATTGATATATTCCCTTCAGAGGGGACAATTAAGTGGCACAATGAATAGAGCACCAGGCCTGGAGTCAGGAAGACTCATCTTCCTGAGTTCAAATCTGGTCTCAGATACTTACTAGCTGCGTGACACCGGCAAGTCACTTCACCCCCTTTGCTTTGGTTCTTCTTCTGTAAAAATGGAGCTGGAGAAGGAAATGGCAGATCACTCCAGTATCTTTGCCAAGAAAACCCTAAATGGGGTCATAAAGAGTCGAACACGATTGAAATGCCCGAACAACAACATTCCCTTCCAATGTGTAATAATAATAATAGCTAACACTTATATAACACTCTAAGGTTTGTAAAGCACTTTATGAATATCATCTTATTTTAACTTTATAACAACCCTATCGGGTAAGTGTTTTTTATTATACAGCCTCATTTTACAAATGAGGAAATTCAGGAAGAAAGAGATTAAGTAACTTGCCCAGGGTCACATAGCTAAGTAAGGTTCTGAGGCCAAATTTGAATTCAGGTGTTGCTGACTAAAGAGCACACTACCTCATTGCCTTAGTTATATTATTATGATTGCTGCTGTTATTATTATCCTTTCCCCAGTACATAACCAGTCTAAGTCCTCATGCCACTTCCTGTGTGTAGGTCACTACTGGAAATGGATTATATTGTCTACTTGTGCTCTACACAGAGTTCAAATGAAAGAGGAATTTCTTATGGTGAGGCACTCCAGATATCATTGCCTGTGAATAAGTCCAAGAATATTACAGGGCCTCCTAAATGACTGCTCAAAGTCAGGCCAACAACCAACAGCAAAAATGAAGTAAATAAAAAACAACTTTCTAGATTATGGCAGGCATTTAGGCCAGTATACTGAGTTATTATTCCATCGGAACATAAGTTGAATTCAATGTCTTGGCCTACCAATACCATATTAGTCTTACTGTAGAAAACAAGAAGTCAAAGAAATAGTGGGAAACATAAAGAACAAAAAAAATGAAGAATGAAACAGAATCCAAAGAACAATATATACTCTAATTACAACTATTTAATTAAAAACAGTAAGAACATCAAGAAATCTATAAAATACACAGAAAAGTTTGAAAAGCATCACAGAAAGAAACAGAATAATTTGGTTACTCCATATTAAAAAACCTATACATTTTTGTCATGGCTAAACAAAGGTTATTAATATATACGAGCTGTTCACAAGCCTTTTTCATTCTGATTATTTTTCCTATGCTCTTGTTTATATGTTTGAATACCTATTCTTCACAAGAAAATTAAAAATAAATTTATCTGTGCTGGAGGGGAGGGGGGGAGATTGTACCAAAAATACTAAGTGCCTCACGAAATCCAAGTGCTCCTTTCTCCAAATATCCCACAAAAAAGTGAAGTTTCTTCATGCTAGAAGCTTTACATGGGACCAAGTGGTTTAGGCTAGGGCTCCCAGCATTTTCATCCTCATGGACTCATTCACTGTTCATATTTAAGTAGGAAATAATCCTACTATACTCTGAATAAGAAAAAGGACAAAATAAAAAAAATTAAAACCAAGACATAAAAAGACTTGTATGTGCACTACAACATATACATACGTGTGTGTGTGTGTGTGTGTGTGTGTGTGTGTGTGTGTGTGTATCTCACAGGGTATAGCTTCATACCACAAATGGAAAGACATTTAAGAGCTTTTTTATTAACTACAGGAGGTAAATGGTTAAATGTCCTGAAAGGTAAAAGAACCTGTTATAAAAGTGTTTCTTCAGATTATACACTGTAGGATTCATACTAAACTTCCAACTACCAAAAAGCACTTTGTAGTTCACTTTACGAACTTCCACCTTCAAAACACACCTCCTGTAGAAACTCTAAATAGAAATTCACTTCTTCCAACTCTAAACTCATGATGCTACCCTCTTCGGTTCATTACCTTCTTTTTAAAAGGGGTCAAAACATCACGCATTAAAAGATAGACACTCAAGAAGCCAAGTCGGTCCAAACACTTAACAAGTTATTCAATCAAGAAATAAAAGAATATCTAACACAAAATTTTCCTCTCTCTGGCACTCCCAAACTGAAACAGACGTCCAGCCACCCACTTCCCCAGTGAGAGAACAGACAACCGCTCCGTTCTTCAGCAGAGACAGAAAGACACTCCACCCTCACTTCCCCAAATACACACAGAAACAGACAGGGCTCCTTCCCTTTCCCCTTTCCCCCCAAACAGGGAGAACACACTCTGACATTCCTCTTCAGAAAGAAATCCCATTCATACATTCCCCAAAGAGAAAAAGAAACTTCACCTTCAATCTAATTTCCATAATTTCCAAACACAGTTAAACAAACACCCCGTGGGATGGAATCCCCTGCCGCATCCCATACTTAGTGCCTCCCCCACACACTTGCCACTAAATGTTTATCCTTCTGTCCCCATTACTATTGCTGAGGCCGCTCTCCTGCCAGACTCCCCTCCCCAACAGTTACAGATCCCCCTTAAACCCACACTATCGTACACTCAGTGACCGACTCCCTCCATGTGACACCCCTTTATACACACTGACCGACCGCTCTTATACAGACTCCCCCGTCCTCAGTGATAGACCGCTTTCTCAGACCCACCTTACACACACAACACCCCCTTAATTTGGTGACACACCTCACACCTTCATGCGGTGACAGACCCTCCCTCACACACAGGGACACACCTCCCTAGGTGACACGGTTAACAGATCCCCCTGTAAACACACAGTAAGAAACAACCACCACACACACAGAGCCAGACACGCCAATACACAGACACAAACACCCCCGCCCCCTGCAGCCAGCCACTGCCTCCCCACCCCCACCCCAGCCCGGCTACCACCTGCCCCACAAGCTCCCCACAGCCCACGCGGACCGAGCCAGAAGGAGCCCGGGTCTCACCGTTCGGAGGATGAGAGTCGTACCCAGGCTCGTCCGGGGGTCTCCACGCCAGCAGCACAGGGAACCAGAGGAGGAGGACGAGGATGCATAACTTCATGTTGGCGGCCCCGAAAGCTCCTCCCTCTCTCTGGCCCGGGGCCTGGGGCTCGGCTCGTACCCGAGACCCGGCCCCAAGCTCCTCTCCCGCCTCACTGCCACCCCCTCCGGCCGCTCGCTTGCCGGCCCCCGGAAGTCAGAGGTGAAAGACGACTTCCCGCGAGGCCCGCGGGCTCTCCCCCAATTCCGTCCCGCGGCTCGAGGCCGCCCACACCCGGAACTCCGGCCTCGGGGTGCGGCATGCCGGGAACGACGGGCGAGATCCCGCCCACCGCACCGAGCGCCCAACCGCCGCCGTCGCCATCTTGTGACGTATAAGCCTGGCACCGCCTCCGGGGGCGGGGCCTGGCGCCCTGACGCGACCCTGACTCTGCTCCGGGTTCAGCCCCAGTTCTCGGTACTCTGCTGGGGTGGGGGTGGGAAGGTGGCCGGTGTGTCTGTGCCCTTCTCAGGCGACAGCCCTTCCTTGTCGGGAGTCCTCGAGGAGCCACCCATCTATCTGTAATAACCCCAGATGGGTCCTTGAAGCTCCTCTTTTACAAAGTGCACGACGTCTTTTGTTTGCTTAGATTCTTAAAACCCTGGGAGGTCTGCAGGGTCCTTAGCCCCATTTTACACAGGAGAAAACTGAGACTCTGAGAGGTAAAGGTGTAAGGGAAAGAATGCTGTACTTGAAACCAAAAGACCCGAATTCAAGTTCTATCCTCCGACAAGCCAAGTCAGCTAGCCTGTATTGTGTTTACTGTGTTACCAAGCATTGTGCTAAATGATGGCTATATAAAAAAAGGCCAAAAAAAAATCAAAGGTGCCCACAGTCTGGCTGTATGGATTGAGTCTCAATTTCCTCTTTTGTCAAATGGGAATTGGACTAGCTCAAACATCTTATGATCTCTGTTGTAAAGAAAGGGGTTTTGTAAATCTTTAATGTGTTAGGCATTGTTAATAGGAATTATTTATCTCTGAGAACTGAGGCTCCAGAGTTCTTATCAAAGCCTGGGATTCTAAAGTATTGCTCTTCCTGAGCTTCTTTTATGGGAGAAATATCTCCTTTTTGAGTTCATGTGGGAGGTGTCTGCTACAGAAATAGATCTACTGCAATGCAGAAATTACAGAAGTAAAAACCTAGGTTTTACTATGCTTAAGCACAGGTTCAGGCTGCGGGGGGATAGAAAATATACCTGAACAAAAATTACGATTCCAAAGACGCTTTTCATGAACAAAATTATGTCAGTGTGACAGAAAAATAATTCTTTTACATACTGCAATATCACACACTTTTAGGCTATAAAAGTTAAAAAAGACATAATCCCATGCTTCCTTCAATGTCATAAAAGTTGGACAAAGTTAAACAGAGACATAATCTCATACATACCTTTAAGGAAATATAGTTAGATTTTGTAGGTAAACTAAGTCAGGTTACAGATTATATTACATTTAGAGGGTTCACAGTAGACTGATTGAGAGAGAAGACGTTTACATGTTTCCAAGAGAACCAAGGAATGGGGAACAGTTGGGATTCTTCTTCAAAAATCATGCCACTTTGACTGTCCTTTGGCTTCTATCTGAGGAATATCAAACAATCTGTCCTTAACACTATTATTTCACAAGTCAAGTTTTGGTCAGGTGAGGTTAATATTAACAGAAGACAGGCTTTCAGTTAGCCAAAACTGCAGATGGAATGGCCTTAAGCCCTAACAACTAACTGTTAGCTTTACTACAAATTCCATGAAGCCATTGTTGAGCCAGGAAGAAGCTTTATTAATGGCCTGGGAAGGCCGGGCTTCCCACATGTGAGAGCGCATACGTCCAACAGGTACATACCTTTTTATTCCCTATTTATTCAAATTTCCCTCCCTTATTTCCCCATTTGCTGGGTATGATAGAAGTTACAGCCTGTCTGAAGCACCTAATTTCCTTGAGTTAGTCTCTGCCCCTAATCTCCCACTCCCAACAATTCGGCAACCCTAGCCCTTATTTACCTTTGCCCTTATTTGGGCACCCCTTTTGCTTGGGATTCTAATATGTTAATCTAAGCCTAACCTCAGAACCAGTTTTTATTGGTTAGTCTATTTACCCACCAATTCTACTTTATGGCTTCCTTTGTTCAACTTCTATCTAGCCCTTAGATTGAAAAAAAAAAACCCAAAAACTAGCTATTCCTCACATTCCCTCTTGGTTTAAGCTGACTCCAATGTTGTCACACAGGCGTCTACCCCCTGATAAGCAGAAGCAACATCCCCAATCACATTTTCCACACAAGAATGAAAGGAAACCCAAAATTCTCATAACAATTCTAAGGGTTGCCAAAATCAAAACTTTACCTGAAAATTAAGGGACTGTAATGGTAGAGTAGAAAGAATGCAAGATGAGAACCTTGGTTCTTAATCCTGTCTCTAACACCCTAGTAGTTCTGTAACCTTGGAGAAGTCACGTGACCTCCTTCCTCTATAAATTAAAAGTGCTAGGACTAGATGACTTCAGTCCTTTTCAGCTCTACCTCTAATTAGCGTCTAATTTGCCACTGTTTCCTATGGAAGTGAATGAGTAACCCTCTGTGAAATATTGCTTGATTTGGAATTAGGAGACCTGGGAATGGGTCACCCATCAGACATTTAATAACTGTGACTACTGGCAAGTCACTTAACCTTTCGGATAGTCAAGTTTCTCTTCTGTAAAATGGAGATGATAATAATGTAATACCTGTACCTCATAAGCTTATGAGGAAAGTGCTCTACAACAAAGAAAGTACCATATAAATGTGAATTATTATTATTAACAATAAAAATCATCCAGCTTTAGTAGTAAAATATTGGGCAGGCCAGTCAAATACCAGCTAGCCCTGTCACACTACCTAATCTGATATAAAAATGTCAACAAATTTTCATATGTACTAGCCCAACAGGTAGAGGAATGTAGGTAGGTGACTTCAAGGAAATGATCCCAAAATACTCCTTGCACTTTTGGCTTAAAGTTATGGTATATTCTGACAATGTTAGAACTTCTTGTTCTCAGAGGTGTCAAACTCACCCCTCTCAGGCAATAAGTATCCTTCGAAACTCCCCAGTGTGACCAGATTAAAATCCAATTGGGAAATGTTTAACAAAATAAATAAAAATACAGTACAACATAGGTATTGTTAATTTGTGTTTTTCTAAGTCAGTATGCAGCCAGCAGAGATCCTTTCTATTTGACTTTGACCCCACTGCTCTTAATAAAATCAATCATTTAGCACGCATTTTTGTAGTGTTACGGTTTTTAAATTATTGTACCTTTGTTGAACTCTTACTCTAAGGTCCCTTTTGGCTTTAGATCTATTATCTTAAACAATGGCAGTTTTTGTGGAGGAGGGTGGTTTATAAATAAAGACAAGCTGGCTTGATAACCATTCTTCTGTTGCCCATGCCCCACCCCCATCCACCTTGCTGAAAGGTAGACTTATCACAACCATTTTGACAAACTATAATCCTAGGGCTAAATCATTATTCATAAGGCAAAATGGGAAAAGGAGACTCCTAACTGACAAAACTGCGAAGTGTTTGGTTGACTTAGCCTAGGTTGGAAATTTCCCAGGAAGTTTTTCTTTTCTAATACTTAGTGCAATTTCATAGTGATATAGTACAGTTAGTTTCTTGTTCATGTCACTAAATTAAACATTATAAAAGTAATACAGCATGAAAGAGATAGTCCTTAACTTCTGGGTTTGATAGGTTTTCCTCAGTTACAATGTAGTATTATGTAATAAATAAAACAATAATATGAGAACTGTCTAGCGCTTTGTTTGGCACTTGCTCCAATAAATTATTCATGATATGGTTTAAACTGATGTTCATTTTGGTATGTCTCAGTAAGACCTCAGCCTCTTTTTCCAGCAGTTCTTATTTCCCACTAACAACTGAAATCATTAATGGTTGAAAACCATTGAAACCATAATGGCCCTTGTCCTAAGAGCAACCAAATCCTTTTTTTTTCATCTGTTCATTCATCTGGGAGAGGCTATAAAATTTATTCATTTTATGCAGGCATTGATGTGCAGAGAATTGACAATAATGACATTGTATGGCACTAAGAATTATAAGAGGTAGGAAGTACAAATATTATGATGTCTGTTTTACAAATGAAGTTTAGGCAAAGTGACTTGCTCTAGGTCACACAGCTAGTAAAGTCAGGATTTGAATTCCTAACTCCAGGTTCAATGTTTTCCAATATACTATACAGAGGAATAAGAAGTGGCTGTTATGGAAAGAGAACTGGATTTGAAGACAGAAGCTGGCTTTGAACCCAAGCTCTGCAACTTACTACCCACATAACTTTGAGCAAGTAGTGAGTGACTTGCTATTTAAGTATAAGTTTCCAGATATGTAAAAATGATTGCTTAAGTATTCTTCCATTTCAAAAATCTAAGATCAACATCTGCAAAAAGGATAACATTCAAAGAGATTGGGATTTTCTACCCACCCTGTACACCCAAGGTACAAAACTGACACCATCTATTAGAATGTGAACTCTATTCATTTGAAAAATCCTTGAAGGATCTTAGATCTCAGAGCTGGAGACCTCCTGAGCCAGCCATCTAGTCCATCCCCTTCATTTTCCAGGGGAGGACCCCATGAGGTTGCAAGTTATCCAAGGTAAACAGAAAAATGTCAATTAACAAGTATTAACTTAAGTGCCTTCTATGTGCCAGGCACGGTGTTAGGCACCGAGGACACAAATACAAAGAATCAAATGATCCCTACTCTAAATGTGTCTTACTTAGGTACTCATTTGTTCATTCATTCAACAAGCCTGTTGCAAGTGCTGGGGATACAATGGTAAAAACCTGAAGCACTCTTTGCCCTCAAAGAGCTCACCTTCTTTTTGGGGGGAGGGGAGAGAACTCATCAGAAAAATAAATGCATAACATATACAAAATAATTTCTGGGAAAGAAGGCACTAGTCAACTGGGGAATTCAGGATAGGCTTCCAGTAGGAGGAGGCATTTAAGTTGAGCTCTGGGCATTTAAGGAAGTTCAGGATTCTGTGAGGAAAAGATGCTAAGTAAGGAGGAAGAGCATTCCAGGCATAGAGAACGAGAGCCTGAGCAAAAGCCCAAAGTCAGGGGATGAGATGTTGTGTATGGAGAATAGCAAGTAGGCCACTTTGACCAGAATGTTGTATTTGAAAGTGGATAATATGCAAACTAGCTTTAAAAAGGCAAGTCTAGAGCTAGAATTGGAAGGGCCTTCAG